GTTGATTTTGGTTTGCGGTGCATCACAGATGCGACCCGAGAAAACCCGAAATCCTCAAACTTCAGCGGCACATGCTCCCGAAAGGCTGAACCCTAAACCCGAAACCCTAAACCCTAAACCCTAATTAACCCTAAACCCTCCATTCTTGCCCTGCCTTCTGCCCAAGACTCAGGTCGCGGAAGGCTCCTTCAACGTGCAGGCTCCGGGGTCTCGGGAGTGCTCTGGAAGGTCTTGCTCGGCAGCTGAATATGAAGAGGGTTGTTTTTTCGCATTTTTTTTCGCGGATGTCATGCCGGCGGGGTGTTGCCTGCCCAAGCCCTAAACCCCTAAACGTTGTGTTTAGCTTGGGCACGAATGATAAACGCGCGTCATCTGATCACATCTGATCGATTGCGCAGTTTTCTCATTCAGTGACATGATCGACATGATAACGCCTGCTTTGTGGTTCGGCCAGCTATGCGGGAGTGAAGAAAGACCCGAACCCCGAAGTTTTTCAGGCTGGGTGCTTCCATCGTAGGGTAGTTACACGGTCCCTTAGTATGGGCCCTTAAATGGGGACTCCTTATGTGCCCCCTTTAACACCCTTTACGACCCAAGGGGGCCCATACTTTCAGAGCCCTGCACATAAGGAGGTAAGGGACCATACTGAGGGACCATGTAACTTCCCTTCGGGTTCCAACAACCTAGGGTCCCTATGTCATGAATGGGCCACGGTTTAGGGTTTAGGGTTTAGGGTTTAGGGTTTAGGGTTTAGGGTTAGGGAGATGAGCGCTTCTGGTCTGCTGTGGGATGCTCAGGCCTCGAGCGCCGTGAGTCTCACAGCAGTAAAGCGAGAGGAATAAAAGAGAAACGAAAAGAATAGTAGACGATAGCAAATCATCCTAAGCTCTAAACCCTACAGACCCCAAACAAAACATGAAGACAGGACTCGACCAACAGCGCCCGAGCGCTGACTACCTTCAGGCGAGGGAGCAACTTGCCCATGGGGGGAGTTTGAGGGCCAATTTTTGGGGCATTTAGGGCTTGAGGGCTGATGGAGTTTAGGGTTTTAGGGTTTTGTAGGCTTTTGGGGCTGTATGGTTGTATGGATGTAGCGGGGCTTCTAGGGTCTTAGTGTTCCGAAGGGTTCCGGAACTTTCGGGGTCTGGATTTGTTTGGCTGGGCGAGATATGGGGCTCTGAAGTATGTTCCGCCGAGCAGAGGTTTCGACAGAAGGCGCAGAAGCGTGTAGGCAGCGTCTTCCAATTCTGCGGGTATGTATGTATGTGTGTTGTCGTATGTAAGTATGCAACATCAAGGCAAGTAAGCACATACGCACGTCCGTCTGCCTTGTTTGAGGAACACACGCGAAGTGTGAATCACATTTAAAAGCCCCGGGTCGTGCTAACCCTAGGTTTGACATCCTGTTGCAGCCCAGAGCTTCTGAGAGAAGACTATAAGCCCTTAACTCTGAAACCCTTAACCCTAAGGCCAAAACCCTGCATCCGAAACCCCTAAACCCTGAACCCGAAACCAGTCCCGCCCTGTCATCTGTGCTGAGACAACCCTCAGCCCGGTCAAGCCTTCAAAGTGGGAGCAACCCTAAGCCTAAACTCTAAACCACTGACTCAGCACCCTAGACACCCCCAAACCCTAAGCCCTACGCCCTGTGTAGGCTCCTCTGCCCTGTAGAGGCCCCCTAAACCCTAAACCCTAAACCCTAAACCCTAAACCCCGAACCCTAAACCCTAAACTGCAAAACCCTAAACCGTCAGGATCGAAGGCCTGCCATCGTTAGAGGCTGCCGCGTCCAGTCGGGAGCCAAGCACATCCGGTGCAGTTCCCCAAACTTTGGGGGTCCCCTAATATGCACCCGACATGTCAGCCGCCCCCACCCCCCCTTGCCCCAAAAAAAGAAGGGCTCTGAGTAGAGAAACTATTTTTCATATCCTTCTTCGAGGCACTTATGACCGTACTTTAAACGCACCTATGAGCCTTTAAGCGCGCCATCCTTCCCATAATTCGAGTTCGGCTCGCAGTCTCTAAGGCGTAGGGTTTGGAGCTGCAGGGCATAGGAGCTCCTTGGTCTTACCGGGGTTTTATAGAATGGGGTTTGTAAGCAGGGCTTACAGGCAAAGGTCCTCGGCTCTTGATTCCTAGCTTAGGGTTTAGGGTTCAGGGTTCAGGGTTTAGGGTTTAGGGTTTAGGGTTCTTGATTCCTAATGCGACAAGTCCCGTACCCTGAATCCGAAGCAGCCCCGCTCACCCGGCTCCGCCACTACTCCAAAGAGCCCCTCCGACAAGCCCCTCACATGTCCAAGCTGGGTCGAGCTGACTTGATTTGAGTTGAGAAGGCCATGAGAGCTGCCGGTATGATTACCACCAGACTCCCCCACAGGCAAGTGTGCAGTGCCAAAGAACCTGCGCACCCTCGCGTGGCTAAGGTGCCGTGGCACAGCAGGACCAGGGTCATGGGCCTCTAGCTTTAGATGGGAACCGGAGGTACTTATTTGCACAACTATAGACAGAGCTTTGATTTAAGGGTTGGTGGATGTAGAACATTTTAAGTTCGGAACTCCAAATCGGCAGCCGGATGCCACACACGTCCAAAACCCTCAGGAGCGCGCGTGAAAGCACGGGGTTCTGCAGGAAGGCTTGCAAACTGTAAACCCTAAACCCCAAACCCCAAACGCGAAACCCTAAACCCTAAACTAAACCCTAAACCCTAAACCCTAAACCCTAAACCCTGTGTTTTCTGTCCACCACAAAAGGCAGTGTCTCCTTCATGCCCTGGACTTCCGCAGCCATTTGGCCAGTCAACATGAAGCCCTGCAATGCAAATCGGAACGCAGCACATCCCAGTCCAGGGGTTTAGGGTTTAGGGTTTAGGGTTTAGGGTTTAGGGTTTAGGGTTTAGGGTTTAGGGTTTAGGGTTTAGGTCCACCCCCTGCAAGCCCCAAGCACCCCTTATAATTGGGGTTTATCAGTTTTGTAGGGTTCGGAGGTTGTTCGGAGGTTTGATTGTGTGGATTCTAGGGCTTATACCGGGTGTTCATAGGTAGCGAGGTAGAGCTTACAGGGCCTATGGGGGTCCTCCCAGGGACGCGAGGTTTAGGGTTTAGGGTTTAGGGTTGAGGGTTTAGGGTTTAGGGTTTAGGGTTTAGGGTGATTTAGGATTGGGCCCCCAAAAGTCTGGGGTGATCGCCATGGCTGGAAGCACAGCGGGTATCTGGGACCGCTTGCGGAGGGATGCCGAAATCAACAGCCTCCTGCAGGCCTCTTTGGGGTTTAGGGTTTAGGGTTTAGGGTTTAGGCTGCTGAATTCTTAGTGGTTCAAAACCCAACTTTGAAATTTTTGGCCTGTTGCAAGGTAGTCTTATTCTGAATGCTTGAACTTTTTACCCCAGGGGTATTTGGGAAGTAAGAGTTCTATTGAGCGCGACTTGTTGTGATCTTGGGGGGCGGTTGCTTGGCGGGCTGCTCTGCATGAGCTCCCCCCTCGGAGTCAGGCGTACGTGATCCGCATCCGGGCCCGCCGTAGACTTGGGCGCAAGTGCTAAGTCCCGCAATGGAAGGGAAGAGAGCGAGGATGTGTGTGTGCCCATGTTGATAAGAGCTAAACCCTAAACCCTAAACCCTAAACCCTAAACCCTAAACCCTAAACTCTAAACCCTAAACCCTAAACCCTAAACCCTAAACCCTAAACCCTAAACCCTAAACCCTAAACCCTAAACCCTAAACCCTAAACCCTAAAACCCTAAAACCCTAAAACCCTAAACCCACACCCTAAACCCTAAACCCTAAACCCTAAAACCCTAAACCCTAAACCCTAAACTCCGTACCGTAGGGCCCTAAAGAAACTTGCAGCACGAGCCCAACTTTGTGCGGCAGGCCTTCCGCATCTCGAGCAAGGTGCCAGACTTTGGGGACTTAGGGCCAGAGTACCCTTTATAATGCCAGGATGCCCAGTAGTACCCATATTCCCTTTTTGGTGGGGTTTTCCCTTATAAACCCCTTTAGCAAAAAAAGGCACCCTTTTTAAGCCTAGGTTCCTGGGAAGCCTAGAATGTAAGGGCCGATGTGATGATGACGGGTGATTGCCAGACAGGGACCTTGTAATGTGGAACATATATACCGAACCCTCACGACTCATGTACGGACGTTAGGGCTTTAGTAGGGCTCGGGCCAATTTGGGGTTTAGGGTTGAGGCCGACGCCCCGAAATACCCGGGAGGTTTCGCGTGGGGTTTGGGCTTTCCCAGAGCCCTGTAGTGATTCGGGCGCAGATCGGGTTCGGGTTTGGGAAAAAGGTTCTCTTCCCGAGCCACCCTCCTCCCCGGGTTTGGGGCTCAGGGCCCCCAAATCAAGAACAGAGCAGTGCCGCGCTTCCAGGAGAAGCTGGTTCAAACACCAGTGGAGGCGGCCCGGCGTGTGCTTTCGGATCTTAGATGTGTGTCATCTTCGGCCCTTGAAGGTCCGTAGCTGCTGGACCACAGGTAAAGATCGGCGTCACAGAGTCGCAGAGTCATCATCTCCGAAGCGTAAACCGCAACACCCAGATTCAACCGCAATGCCTCCGAAGCGCCAGCCTGAGAAAAAAAACTCAAGAAGTCTGTCATCTCACCCCTAAAAGTCACCCCAAGCCCTAAACCCTAAGACAAAACCCTAAACCCTAAACCCTTAAAAAGGCAGCTGCAGCTGCGACACCAGGGTCCTGGGGTCAGGGTTGGTACAACCCAAGAGTCCTACCCGACCCCTTCAAGCTTCAAAAACACGCCCGGAGCTTATGACTGTTCTGATCATTATCGTGATTGTCCCGACTACCCAAATCCCCAAAACCCCAGATCCCTAAACCCCTAAACCCCTTTCCCCTACCCAAGTTTCCCTTTCCCTTCACAACCCTACCCCCAAACCCTAAACCCTGAACCCTAAACCCTAAACCCGAACCCCCCCCCCCCCCCCCCCCCTGGCTAAGTACCCAAATGGACCTCCAACCCGATGGCTCAGGTTCTGGAAGCGTGCATGCTTCAAAGAGACCTGCCCAGGGACAAGCAGCGACAGCTGATGGACACCAAGACCGCCCTCTCCAGGATGCTAAGAGTTCTTCTTTCCTCGGAGGGTTCATGGGTACTTCTCTAAGCAGGGTTGCAAGTAACCCGAAACAAGGTCAAAACCGTAGTTGCCCCTACTTCTAGCCTTCTAGCCCTACTTCTAGGCAGCCATGAACCTCCAAGTAAGCCCTACTGGCCTCAGCCCTGAACAGCCAAGGTGCTCTTGCCTGAGTGGCTAGCTTCCCTTCTCCATGCATCGTTTTTTTAATTGTATTTCCAGGTTACTTGGATTCTAGGAGGGGGTCCTCTTAGGAAATCCCAACAGATGGAGACTTAGGGTAGGGGGGCCTCCTTGGAGGAACAGCCGCCACGGCCACGACATGTCAAGTGGCTACGCGCACGAGCCGCTGCAGCTGAACGAGGAGGAGGTGCGCAAGGTCAAGTGTCTCGGACCTAGAGGAGGAGGCCCTGGTTGCCCCTTTTGTCTAAACCCTAAACCCTATGCGGAGCTGCAATTGGTATTGTAGAAAGGAGTTAGTGTTGAGGGTTGGATGGGTCAATGAACCCGGAAATCTTATATGGCTCAAGATGGCCCAGAGCCGTCCGCTTTTCGTTGAAAAGGTTGTGTCCGTGTGTTGGGTGTTGGGTCTTGTGGGAGGTAGTAGTCCCGACCCTTCTCCCTTAGCCTTTCCCTCTAGGGTGGGATTCTTCTCTTACTGGTTCGATCTGGGAAATCCATATAGGCAACTGTTAAGGGTTGGTTTCTTTCCCTTTTCCCCTTCGGTTGCCCCCGTAGGTTATGAGCCCAAATTAGGTTCCCTGCGGTTGAGTGTTGTCTTAAGATCTTTGGGATCAAGAAGCAATGCCTTCTCCGAAGCGATGGCTCCAACCTGCCTCGGATGGTGGACAGAATGGTGGAGCTGGAAATGGTGCAGCTGAGTCTCTGGGTGAAAGATCGGTGCTGGAAGAGGTGATTCCCGGCGCTGAAGAACATCTGGAAGAAGCCTTGGTTGCGGAAAGCCCCAATGTGGGTATGAATCCCAATGTGGATATGGTTAGCAATACTGAAGCTGAAGGACGTGCTGTCTCTGTATCGCCAAAGCCTGGTGAAAAAAGGAACTGGGACGCGACTGGTGGTATAGATCGTGAAATGGAGGTGACTGTTTTACGAGTGTTGCAAAAACACGGGTATCAGCCGTCGACTTCGACTTCGGGTCGAATGGTAGACCAAGGGTCTCAGACCGATCTGATTGGAGAAGTGCTGCAAGCGGCCAGGAGGCCTCTGAACAAGATCAAAAGGGATCCATCTTCGAGTTCCCAAGGTGGTGGAAGCGGTCACGAACAGAAGGGTGCGGACAGCTTTGAAGCTGCACCTGCTGCTGAATACGCCATGGGGGAGGAGGAGATCCTACAGATGGAGGCTGAAAGGTGGCGACAGTTGTCAGAAGAAGAGGACGAGATGCGTCAGGTCTCTGAAAAGGATGGTTTTCGGAAAGATGAGCATCTGATCCGAGCGTGTGATGGCACGATGTGGGAATGGCACCTCCATGAAGATGGGAGACAATATTATTACTGCCTGGATACGCAGGAAAGCAAGTGGACATTGCCGGTTGTAGGTGAAAAGATGAAGAGTGACGAGGTGGTTGGGTCTCCTTCGGGCAATGAGCTGGAAATGGAGGCGGCACTGGGTTCTTCATCCTCTACTCCGAAGACTGAGTCTACGAGGGCATTCCAGGGTAGTGTAAATAGTTTAGGTGAAAAAGATTTTTCCTCTACTATCAGGGATAGCGGTCCTAGGGCTGGTGGTGACGCCCCGACCTCGGGTTCTCCTGATGAGGAGGAGATTCCTGGAAACCGAGCAGACATCGCTGGAGCTCAACATCTGGATCGGGAAGGAATGGGAGCGCTTTCTGAGGGTGTGGCAGTGGTGGAATCGGTAGGTCCAGAAGAAAAAATTCCCAATGTGGAGATCGGAACTGTGTCGGCTGCAGAAGAGCGAGTGGTGGATGTGGTACCTGTCGTTCAGGAAGGTGGTCCTGGAGATTCGGAAGACGGAGGGAAAAAGTTGTGTGTTGCGACTGAGGAGGTCTCTTCGTTTGGTGCCAAGATTCCTGCCATTCAAGGGGAAAAAGAAGCTTCTGGAATAGCTGGAGACACGGAAGATCGGAAAGATGAGGCCTGGAGCGCCAATGATGCGCGGGTCGATGCGCCAGATAGTACCTGGAGTGCGAAGGAAGCACGGGTTGAGGCGCATATGGTGTTACGTTCCACGGGCGACTGCAACAATGGGGCGCAGGTCTCCGCAGCAGCTGATGATGGAGGTTCACAGGTGGACGCACTGGTGCAACCTGAAGTTAGCCGCGAGGAACGGAATAGCAAGGGCTACACCGGAGCCGATGAGGCAGCTGTGGTCAACGATGGTGGCAATTCTCCTTTGGAAACCATGGAACCAAAGGAGCCTGCGGTGGAAGAAAGTGTGCCTGCCGTGGATGATCAACTCAATCGCCCTGCAGTGGAAGAAAATTTGCCTGCTGCAGAAGGTGTGACAAAGGACTCCAATGATGGGTCCACTCCCATGAAGGGAGAAGTGTTGCCGTCTGGAAGTTCGCCGGAAGTCGACACCGAGCGAACTGCAGCAGATGAGGCAAAGCCTTTGGCGGAGAAAAAGGGAGGTCCTGAAATCCAGGAGCACAAAAAAGATGAGCCTGTGGGACTCGTGGAGCAGGACGAGCAGTGTGACCCAAAGGTGAAGACAAATGATGCGCCAGGAGCCGATGATACAGAGGTGGTTTCTGAAGAGCATGCAAAGAAAGTGCCCCGGGCGGGATCACCTGGGAACCATTGCTATCAAGAGGGAGATGAGATCATGGGTCTAGTGCGCTGCATCAATGGGTATGGAGCCTTTTTGGACCTTGGTGATTTGAATGTATTGATTCCTGCAGAAGGGAACAATACGTGTCAGTTCAGATTTGGTGATACTGTCAATGGAACAGTGAAACGAGTGGAAGATGATGGTACCATAATCTTGGACACCTTTCTGGTTTTGGAAGAGGACGTGGAGGACTCTTCCTCGACGCTGCGGAAATGGAAACCCAGCGGCTGGAGTACGTGGTGGACGGATTCATGGTATGCTGGTCAATGGTACCAAGATTCCAACGGTCAATGGGACTGGAAACAGGAGGAAGAGCAATCCGATGAAGGGCTTGTGGTACAGGAGTTATCCTCAGAAGAACGAGAGGAAAGGCAACTTTATGGAGAAAAGATCTACAAAGCTCTTCTGGAGAATGGAAACGAAGATGAGGCCTATGTTGGCAAAATCACTGAGATGCTGTTGGGTCGCCCGATGGAAGATTTACAGGAGTGTGTTGCAGATCATGCATTCCTCAATGCGGAAGCTCGGCGCGCGTATGGCATCTTGCAAAATGATGGTTGGAAGCCTGATGGTACAGAAAGCACAGGCTTGGGAAAGTTAACCACTTTTTCCCGAAAACAGTACCACAACGCGCTTTTCGAACTGGCATGCAGAAAAAGGAGATTTACTCGACCAGTTGTGGGTGAAGCGGTGGCAACGGTGCTGAATCAAGGGGAAGATGAGTTTTGGAACGCGCTTTGGTTGGACACCAAGCTATTTTTGCAGGAGCTTGATGGTGCAGTGCAATCCATGAGCAAAAGGGAGAACAAGCCAATGGAAGCCTACATGGACCCTGACCAGTACAAAAAGGCTCACATGACTCCACAGACTGTGTCACCTGGATACAGCAAACTGTGCAAGTTCTTCAATAAGGGAAGGTGTCGCAATGGCGATGGGTGTCCCTATGAGCATCGTCGTTATGGTGAAGGTTGGCCAGAAGGGGGGTCAACTGATCCAAAGAACAGCCAAGAAGCTGATGATGAGGATGGGAACATCGGTGACCCTCCCACAGAGGAAGGTACAGTGGATGAGGCACAGCAGGAGCGGGAGGATTTAGCCTTCCGGGCCAAGTACAATTTTGGCAAAGGTGCATCAAAGGGTGAACCTACGTCGGGTGAGCCAAAAGGTCGTCTGTGTCTGTATTACAATCAAGGTGGTTGTAAATATGGGACTACATGCAGGTATCTTCACAACGATGACATAGCATTGGAAGGGACTTGGGAGCCCGGCAAATCTTGGGACAATGCTTCCAGGAAGGCACTAAGGGACGCAGGGTTCCACCATTGCTGTTTCGATTATTACCTCAGAGGACGTTGCCGGAAAGGGTCAAATTTCTGCAAGTACTCCCACGACGAGATGTCAGATGAGCGGCTGACGCTCCTGAAACACTTGGTACAGGTGGCCAATCAGGTCCGGTTTGAAAAAGAGAGAGGATGGGAAATTTCGGATAGAAGCACTTTTCAGCCACCTGCGAGTGGGGGAGCTGAATCTTCCTCATCCTCGGCACCAAAAGCGCTGCAAATGACCAATGTGTCACAAAAAGAAGGTGAAAAAGGTATTCTGGATGAAGCAGAAGCTGATGAACAAAAGAATTCGGTGGCTGAATTTAGTGGTACTCGGCTTCAAAATCCGGAGGAGCCAATTGAAAATTGGATGGCTCGCAACGAACACCTGTGGGTGTATACCCCTCATGTAAGTGAGGTGATGATTACGCTTGGTGTGACCAATGTGTCGGACTTGCAAGAGTTCATCTTTGTGGAAGATTTGGTTGACAAAGGGATCAACAAAGTGACCGCATGCAAAATTCTGCAATTGGTTGGTGGTGTCCGATATCGTCCGGGAGGACCGGAAAAAGCAGTTCCTTCCGATGCATCTGTACGGGTACAACAATCTTCTGGGAGCAAAGGAACTGGAAGAGCGGCGGTGCGAACCCTCACTCAGGTGCGTGAAGCTGAAGACTCCGGTGCAAAAACCATGCCGAGAGGCTCCTATCGGGAGCTTTTTGATAAGGTCAGGTACCGTGATGCTTGGACGCTTGCGCAGAGGTCTCCGCTGTGCGTACAGAAGCTGCAGTTGGTGGGAGTTGGAATGCCGCCGGTGAATCCGCCAACAAAAAAGTATCGGTCAAGATCAAACCCTGTGAGAAGGGGAAGGCCCTTGCTGGACAAAAAACAGGTGCGACAGGTGCCACGCTCTCGATCACAACGACGAGTGCAACCGGCGGAAGTGGTGGAAAAGCCGAAGCCACTGGAACTGAAGCCTCGTGGTGGGTTGTCGTATCGGTTCAGCAGAGCGTGGGCAGATGTGGTGGATGATGATGAACAGGCGGAGGCCTTGGTCTCGTATGCCGCTTCCTCAAGCGATTCAAGCGAGGAGGAGACCAATGCCGCGCAACGCCTGAAGGAAATCTTCTTGCAAGAAAGGGATTCACAGAGAACTGCGAGTCGTGGCAATGTTCCGCAGAGTGGTTCTTCAGGCTCCAATGACGGGCCGAAAAAATCGGTTCACCTTGGCGAAGGGCGCGACAAAGCGTCGCGGGGGGAGACCCGCCAAGAAGTGACTTCACAAGTTTTTTCGCTACCACAACCTTCTCGTCGAGCTGAACGGTCTCAAAAAAGAGCAAGGGATGGCTCAGTTATGGTTGGTTCGCTGGCGGTGGGCTCCACGGATGAGGTTTTACCTGGGCAAGGTGTTGCTGGACAGGTGAATGTCTCTGAAAGCGCTCAAGTTCTTCCTGGGCAAGAAGTGGCTGGACAGGAGACGGCGCCGGAAGGAGCAGTACAAATTTCTGGCAAGGAGACTGACCAAAAAGAAGGAGAAGGTGGGAGCAATGAACTCCGTGGTGATGGTGCGAAGATATTGGATGTTTGTCCGGTGAAGAATGACCTTCAGCAATTGCTGGTTAAAGGCCTTCTGACTCGGATTTATTGGAAGGTTGCTGTTGGCAAGTTGCCTGTGGGGCAAAGAGACTGCCAAAAAGGGTCCAATAAGATGGATCGAAATTTGGTTATTAGCATGTCATCCGAGGGTGCAAGCGAACAGGATGAGAACCTGGCACTGGAGGACGATGCTGATCAGTCAATGGGTGACGGTGCGATGGTAGTTCTGGTGTATGATCCAAGGACGCTGATTCAGTCGCCAACAACTGATTGGATTATGCGTCGCGGTCTGACCGATCGTTCCGTCTGGCCAGCAATGGCGTACATGGCACAGAGGATATGTGCTGAAATGGTTCGAGTGGATGAAATGAATGCCCAGCTAGGGACTGGAGCACTCCTTTTTCAAAGGAGAGATCAAGGACATTATTGTGACCTGCATCATTCGTTCCATGACAACCCGTGCTTGCCGGCGGTGGGAAATTACCCTCTTTCGGTGATGGGTGCCTTGTTGTCTCCTGGTCTGGAAGGGGAATTCAAAAATACTGACAAGTTTGGAACTGCTATGGAGGCAATTGCCTATGATTGGAGTCGCAGTCCAGGCATGGAAGTTCACATTGAACTTATGGCGAGGGTAGCCAAAATGGTTCACCCGTTCCTGAATCTTGGAGCCCAGGGGTCGGTGATGGTTTCGGAATTTCTCTGGCAGCGCGGGAGGGCCCGGTTGATGGAGTTCCTTCAAGCGGCGACTTGTGCGGACCAATTGGAGGCTCTCTGGAAAAGGATGGACGACGATGCTGATGAAGAGGTGGATCCTTCGACAGCGGTGCTGGAAGTTCTTGGACCAGAGGATGCGGTACTTGATCAAGGGAACAATGAATCCCTTATTCCCATTGAAGATGCTGGAGGTGAGACAAGTGGTGACACTGGAGGGGATGGCAAAGCGCCAGAAGTCTCTCCGGAAGAGGAGACATCCAGTGGGTCATCAAGACTGGCGGACACAAGGATTTTCTTGTGGTCAGTGTACTCCCGCGTGGCTTCTAATTTCTCTATGCAGGACCGCGCTACTGGTAAGATCTTTGACAGCACAAAAGGGTATCCTGGTGAAGGACCAAGCAATGATGACAATCCTTCCTCTAAGAGGAACTTACCCTGGATCTCGGAAGACTACCTCGACGAAGTGGTGTCAAAAAAGATGGAAAGGTCTTCAGATATGGATGGGTTTGTTCCGGGAAGTGAGGGACCATTGGAAAAGGTAGAGGTGGAGAATGTTACTGCCTCTAAAATTCTTATGGCTCTTTGGAAGAAGGGATATAGAGCTGGGTATAGGAGGTTGTGTCGTTTGAGCGCATCTGGATGCAAGGTTGGAGCAATGAAACGTCCAATCAAAAGGGTGCAGAAGATTGGCACTAGAAAGGCCTTCACGAAGATGTTCAATGTTTTTGGATCGTCTCAGCATGGCTCAGGAGTTGGCGGAAAACCAATCATGAAGGTGGTAGGACCAAGGCCAGGTTTTCCAGCTGTACTCCAAGCACCAAATACTGATAGCACGTCGGGTGAAGGGAGCAGTCCCCAGGTACATGGCAATGTTCATGTAGAGCACAATCGCCCTATGGACCGGTACGAGGCAGAGCGCTTGGAGAAGAGGAAGAAGGGCTTCTGCTATTGGTTCGGCAAGGGGAAAGATCGCTGCAAATTTGGTGAAGACTGCAAATTCATCCATTCCGAAGATGATGTGATGCTACCTTCGTATTGGTGCAAATACTATGTGGCAGGGAGAGAATGTTTCGCTGGAAAGGATTGTGGGTTCTCGCATGATGCAACTGGTGTGAGGTGCATCCAGTTTGCTCGGTCTGGGAAGTGTCGTTATGGTGACAGGTGTGTCTTCGAGCATGGTGTTCCGCTGGATGAACAGAGGCCAAGGTCTCCAAGGACGCCCCCAAGGGATGGTCCAAGGAGAAATTCTGGTGCAAATGGTGGAGAAAAGGAGATCTCTCCTGAACAGTTCGATGATGGTGAGGAGGATTTTATGGTTTATGACGAAGATACCAAAATGACGGAACTGTTGATGGAGGCGATTTCATTTCTGTCCGATGGCAAGCCAGATTTGGCTCGAGCAGAGGCGGACCCATTGTTCAAACTCCTGAAGTTCAATGGAGATACTGACCAAATGGATCAAGAATGGGTTTCGTGGACCACTGGTATGTTGACCGTGCTGGAACTTCTCGAAGTAGTGAAGTCGTATGAGGTTTCGCTCGCGGAGGTGGAAGAATGGGTCAATGACCTGAGGATATGGTATGAGCGAGCCAATTTGGGAGAAGAAAAGGATTCCAAAAGAGGCAAAAAGAGGTCCCTAGAAAGGGAGTCCAGCAAGGATATTCCTGCCGAAAAAGAAGTGGTTGAGACTTCGGAGACGGAGGTTGCCGTTGAAGAAGAGAAGAAAAAGGTAAAAAAGAAGAGGAAAGCTGCAGCTATCGAAGATCCTTACACTCTCATGGTTCCAAAGCCGAAGAAGATGCCGACGATCATTGAGAAGGGTGGATCAACATCCAATGTGGTGGTTTCTGCAGTGGAAAAATCCTCGAAGACGCGCGCAAAGTCAAATGTCGGTTGAAAGACGAAGAAGAGGGAGAAAAGTCAGAGTCCCAAAAAAGAAGATGTGGTAATGGTGCAAGGTCCTGAGGAAAAGGATCGTCCATCTGATGCGGATGCACCAGTGTCTACCACTGTGAATGCAGAGCTGGGTCAATCTTGCCAAGCGATTGAGGACGCGAAGAGAGAAGGATTGGTATCCTCAATTCAAAGGTGCGTACAGGATCCTGTTCTTACAGTTTCGGACCTGGAGTATATTCTGCTGCAACTTCACCTCAAGATTGCCAACAATCGGAAAAAGAAGTGATTGGATGGTATGGATGAAGGGATGGTTTTTCTCTTTCTGGAGACAGGTGCGCTGGAACAGCCAATGTGCTGACAATGTGGTGGTTACTATTAAGGGTATGGAAATCCCTGATAGTAGAAGTCAGTAGCTTTTCGCGTAGCGAAGACCACGGTTTGTGGTGAAGAAGGCCAAGGAGTCTTCAGTGATGAGAGGATCATGGTGAAAAGAGATTCTCTGTGGTTAGTGGGTTAGCCAATGTGCTATAATTCCGTCCTGGATGACGTTAAACCATATTGTGCATTTCAAGCAGCTGGCTGCTGCTTTAATAGCAGTTTTTGGCCAAAATATCTGCACCTCCAAGGTGTCCTAGGAAATCCTAGGACAGGGGGAGTGCGGAGCTGCAATTGGTATTGTAGAAAGGAGTTAGTGTTGAGGGTTGGATGGGTCAATGAACCCGGATATTTGGCTCAAGATGGCCCAGAGCCGTCCGCTTTTCGTTGAAAAGGTTGTGTCCGTGTGTTGGGTGTTGGGTCTTGTGGGAGGTAGTAGTCCCGACCCTTCTCCCTTAGCCTTTCCCTCTAGGGTGGGATTCTTCTCTTACTGGTTCGATCTGGGAAATCCATATAGGCAACTGTTAAGGGTTGGTTTCTTTCCCTTTTCCCCTTCGGTTGCCCCCGTACCCTAAACCCCTATATCTCCTTATTCCTAGGTTACTCGGTGGCCGAGGTATCTCCAAGCCTGCATCGACGCCCGGCCCGTGAAGAAGGACTGCGTGCGGGCATCCTGCCTGCCCGGTGGTGGAACTTTTTGCCCACTTTGTGGGGTTCAGGGGTTTAGGGTTTAGGGTTGAAGGGGTAATTTTGTTATGATGTGAGGCATACCACACCACCACCTACAGGGCTGCGGCCACCATGTTGGCCGAGGGATGCAGGCCCAGCACATCATACAACTGGGTCGCAGGCGCGGGCTTCGTGGGGGTGTCGGGTTTAGGGTTTAGGGTTTATAGGGTTTAGGGTTTATAGGGTTTAGGGTTTAGGGTTTAGGGCTAGGGTTTCAGAGTCTTGCCGAAGTTTTCTGTTTCAGCCCCTGAAGCGCTTGGTAAATGTTTGAAAAGCCTCCTTCGGCTCTACACGTTGAGGGTTCACAAGGCTTATGCATCGAGAGCCGTCAAAGCTAAGGAAGCATGAATGAGACCCGAATTAAACCCCAACCAAACCCTCAACTAAACCCTCCGGCCTTGGCACTCTGTACAGCTCCAACCACGAAGCACCACGACCAGACAGGGTGAACACCAACTTCCCCCCCACTTAGGGTTGAGGGCCCCGAAGCCCGAAACCTTAAACCCTAAACCCCGAGGGCGTGGGGTTCACCAGACATGTTTAGTCGAGTCCCTGTGAACCTGGGTTTTAGAGTACTATACTTTAACACTTTTTTTTGGGGTTTTTGGGTTCCTAATTATATAGCTACTTTTACCTAAAAAGTATATACGTTTTTCCAGGGTCTACTCCAAAGTAGGGGCACGCTAAGCCCTCAAGCCCTTCTGAACCACCAGGCCGAGGCAACGAGGAGCGCTACTTCTGCGTGACGCTGTTGAGCCCCGTTGCCTTCGGCTTCCCCCAAGGCTTTGTTTTTTTTTTTTGGTGTGTGTGTGTGTGTGTGTGTTTTTTTGTTGTTGTTGGGGGGGGGCAGGTGGTTCAACCGACTGACACCCTAAATCCTGAACCCTACATTCACATGTCCAGCTTCTCCCATGATTTTGAGCCATCCTATATCGTTCCTCCCGGAACCCCCAATCCTACAAGCGAACAAAAAGAGGGACAACTAAGAACGGCATATATTTCATCCACTTTCCGGCCACCATGAAATAGGTTCCATTCGTCTTACCCCTAAACCCTACTTGGGGTACTTATAACCCCAATTATACGTCCACTTATCACCTACTTAGGGGACCTAGGGGACTTAGGGGGCTGATAAGTACGGTTACAAGTGGGGGTGATAAGTACCCTGAACCTCCAACCTGCAACCCTTACCAATTCCACCCTTCCCGACCTCCTTCCCGATTTGCCTCCCCCAATGGTCTACACCCTAAACATCCCTAGGGCTCATTGAAGCCTTCACCCCTGGGGTGAATCACCCCTTAGAGCCTTGCTTAAAGGTTCACACATGCTTGTAAGTAGGGTCACAAGTACCCTAAACAAACCTACAGCCATAGTTGCCCTTAGAAGTACCCATGAACCTGCAAGTAGATTCATCCCTGGCCCGTGCAGGTGAATGGAAGAGGCGGATGCTTCTTAACAATTTCGGCAAGGAGGCGAGGTTTAGGGGACTCATACTCGTGCTGCTCGCGTACGCGACGTTTCCGCCACTGGTTCTGGAGGCTGCAGTGTAGGGTGTGAGGCCGCCAGGCAGGCTTTAAGGTTTAGCGTCTAGGGTTTAGGGTTTAGTTCAGGGTTTGGGGTTTCGGGTTTGGGGTTCCAGCCTTAAACCTAGACTTGAGATGTTCCCCTTTTACGAACAGTCCTTAATAGGGATTCTACTACCCCCTGTTTTGGTCCCAGTTAAGGACTCTTAGTATCAGGGGGAACATCCCAACCCTAAACCCTAAACACCAGGCGGGAGGTGACGATGGTTCCCCGAAGAGCTGCAAGAGCTGCACCTCGGTTGATGGACTTGGGGTTTAGGGTTTTAGGGTTTAGGGTTTAGGGTTAGGGCTTAGGGCTTAGGGCTTAGGGCTTAGGGCTTAGAGCTTAGGGCTTAGGGTTTAGGGTTTAGGGTTTAGGGTTTAGGGGTTAGGGGTTAGGGTTTAGGGTGGTCTTTGGGGACATGGACCGCTTTCCTTTTCTTGTGCTTGGCTTGAGGGCTCCGACGGCCACAGGCACGGACAGAAGAACCGAGCATCTTTTATCCAAGAAGCACAAAAGCAAGGCCCAACTAAAGTAGCCCTGGAAAAAGGGTCCCCAAAAGGGTCTTAAACCCCAGGGTACCACCTCCGGTCCCAGGTTGAGTCCCTTGACCGCCAGCTTAAGGCAAGAGCAGTCGGAGCAACAACAGCGACTGGGTTCGGGAGCAACGAGCACAGGTCTGCTTGGTGGTGGACGTCCCGGCGCCTTGGCTTGTACATGTTCTGGCTTTTTTTTCACACTCAAGGTGGCAGGAGTCGTGCTTCACCGGCATAGTGGCAACTGAACCCCTAAACCCCAAAGCCTGATTTTCAAGGTGCCCTAAGATCCTGAATCCTGAACCTCCAGATTTAATCAGACTAACTGTTAACCCTGAGCATGCAACGCCTAAACCCTAAACCCTAAACCCTAAACCCTAAACCCTAAACCCTAAACCCTAATCATGCAACGCTGAACCGAGAGGTGTGTCGTTTCCGGGTGGGTTCATGCTGGCAGGTGCCGCCGTTGCGAGACGCCCGGACGGCGCTGGAGCAGCACAACAACGAGAGCATCAGGTCGAGTCTGGGGGTTTTAGGTTTAAGAAACCCTAAACCCTAAACCCTAAAAGGATGTTTAGTTAGGGTTTTTTTGGGTTTTCGAATTTTTGTTTTTGGGGCCTTTAGGGTTTTTGGGTACCCGGCATTGTTCGCAGATGCCTGGATCCAAAAGGGTTTTAGGATTTTAGGGTTTTAGGGTGGGTTTAGGGGGTTGTAGTTTTTTTTTTTTTTTTTCCCGGGTTTTAGGGCTTTATGGTTTTTGGGTTTTTCGGGTTTCAGGGTTTTTCGGGTTGCACGGTTTTTGGGGTTTGGGCTTTTTCGGGTTTTCAGGGCCTTTCGGGCTTTTAGGGTTTTTCGGGTTGCAGGGTTTTTGGGGTTTAGGGATTTTCGGGTTTTAGAGCTTTTCGGGCTTTTAGGGTTTCAGGGTTTTTGGGGTTTAGAACAAAGGGCTTGAGGGCTTTAGGGTTTTGTCTTCGTAGGGTTGAGGGTTTCAGGGTTTATAGCTCATCCTCAAGCCTTGTTTTCAGAGCTTCCGACGCCCAGGCAAAGCCCTCCACCTGAAACCCTAAACCCTGAACCCCCAAACCTTAAACCCCAAAACCCAAAACCCTAAACCCTAAACCCTAAACCCTAAACCCTAAACCCTAAACCCTAGCCCTAGACCCTGAACCGAAACCCTCACACCAAGTCTTGAGGATGAGTTTTCGGCAGGTCAGAGAACCGAAACGTGCACTACATCCCCGAAACTCGGACTACCAGGTAGACCCTCAAGGGATGTTGTTTTCTATGTTCCTTTTTGGGTTCAGGGTTTAGGGTTCAGGGTTTGGGGTTTAGGGTTTAGGGTATTTAGTAATGTTCTTCAGGGGGTTGTAAGAGTCATCCTAGACTGTGTTTCTATGGTACCTTTCTCAGCAAGAGGCTAGGTAGGTTTTCTTTCGGTGGTGCATGTATGCTTAGTGGACATGTATCGGCATATTTGTTGATATATAAATATATAAAAGGGAATAATTATTAAATATACTGCCGAATTTACAAGTCCCAAGTTTGCCTGTTAATTTCGTAAACCCCCACTTGCCCAACCCTAAACCCTAAACCCTTAAAGGCTTTCGAAGAGCCTTCTCCAAGGAGAGCTTCCTGCAGAATATGGGCGTGCACTCCCTGCCCGCAGACAGCATTGTCTACGCCTTCCAGCTGGAAGATCAGGCGGGGTTCAGAGGGTTTAGGGTTTAAGGTTTAGCGGCCAATGGCCAGCAGCTGCTGATGTTCGCGAGTCAGCAACATCCCCTACTTGGAGGAAGTTCATGGGGACCTATAAGGCCTCTTAAACTGCTCCCTGGAACCTCGCGAAGAAGGCCCAGTCATTAGGCCTCTTTAACTGCTTTCTGAAACCTCTGCGAAGCTCCAGTTATGAGGCCTCTTAAACTGCTAAGTAGGGTTACAAGTACCCGAAAACAGGTTATACATATATATATATATATATAACGATAGTTCCCGTACTCATAACCCTGCTTAGAAGTAACCATGAACCTCCAAGTATGGTAGCTGAAGAGGAACGACTGACGAAGCGTGCGCTGCGGCGCATCCTCCCAAGAACAGCTTCAGCCGAAGCCTCAACGCTGCACCCTTTCAGGGCCCCAGAAATCTAAACACCCCAAACCCATCTAAACCCACTTTCAGCCCTAAACCCCCTAAATCCTCGAAGCCCCCTGAATCCCCCAAACCCCCCGAAAACCCCCCAATACCCTGCAAACTCCCCCAAAAAAACCCCAAAACCCAAAAAAACAGCAAGGAGGTGCCAACCGAAGCCATCGACCTCGGCGAGACCTCCCCGGCCAAAGCGACGCTTGGCAGCGGCGAGGTTTTAGTGCCCGGCCCTGTGACCGTGAACCCGAAACCCTAAACCCTTAATGCAAATCCTGGATAACCCTATAACCCTATAACCCCATAACCCTATAACCCTATAACCCTATAACCCTATAACCCCTATAACCCCTATAACCCCTATAACCCTAAACCCTACAACCCCAAACCCTAAAAATCCCAAGCCCAAAACCCAAAAAGCGCCCTGCCTCGCAGGTTCGACTTTGCCGCCCGGGTCCAACCTCGGGTTGAACCTTGGATGGTCAGATCTAGGGTTTAGGTTTATTTTTGGGTTTATGGTTTAGAGTTTAGAGTTTAGCTTGTTCTCAGGATATCCTACCTTATTGGGCTTCATTATACTGGAATTCAGGGTTTAAGGTTTAGGTGTACAAGAGGGTTTAGGGTGCAGGGTTTAATACAGTGGGGAATCTCCTGTACATGATAGTAGGGTTCTTAGTGCCTTGGCTATCGTCAAGGGCGCACGTCTTGTAGCACCGACTCTGTACCCAGAGATTGAAGGCAATGAAAAAGGGCACAAAGACCTAGACTTCCTGGGAACGCCCCCAAAGCCTAAACCGACAGATTCGAACATAATTTGTGGTTTTATTACCTTTGTAATCCTTATGAAGCCATGAAAGTTTGATTACTGTATAGCGCACCGCAAAACAGCTGGACCCTAACCCTAAACACTAAACCCTTAACCCTAAACCCAAGGACAAAGCAGCACGAGACCTGGACCTCTTTGAGCTCGCCTGGCTTCTCGAGCTTGGTGGCAAGATGCGGCACACGGAGCGCGATCACGTGTGCCAAATCCTGAATGTGCGTCTGGGCCTGGGTTTAGGGTTTAGGGTTTGGGGTTTGGGGTTTGTGGTTTGGGGTTTTGGGTTGATCGGGTTTAGGGCGTAGGCTTTAGGGTCGAGGCTCCTGGGCGTGCTGGTCAGCTATACTTGGGGAGTCTCATGGGAACTGATGCAGTAGGGTTATATTTTCAGTAGGCACCTATAACCCTACTTCTATCCCATGAACCTTCAAGTAGGCTTGTAAAGGTTGTTTCATGAAGCATCTGTTGTGCATTCCTCTTGAAATGCACTAGCTCGAAGAATAGGAAAGGGGTATATTCATCCTTTACACACTTGAAGCTTGTATGTTCATCCCCCGATCCCGCTGCCAAGCTGTTGTTCGCAAAGGTTCGCGAGGCACACGGCCAACCCCGGTGGGCTGAAGTTTGGGATCTTCGACGGCAAGTCGGCGTGGAAGGACCGACCTTACTGGGAGGTTCATGGGTACTTAGAACCCCAATTAGTAAGTACCCCTGAAAGTCCAAGTAAGGCTCTAATCCCTAAACCCTAGATTTGGGGGGGGGGGGGGGGGGGGGTGAGGGTTTAAGCCTCAAACTTCAGGGTCTAAAATTAGAGGGTTGCAGTGGTCGCCGGAGCTTAGGTGGCAAGGGCGTTTGAGCCCACGAAGTGTAAACCCTGGACCCTAACCCGAAACTCTAAACCTTAAACCTTAAATCCTAAACCCTAAACCCTAAATCCTACACCAAAACCTGTGGAAGGCGCGGGAGTCTGGTCTTTCCTTGGCAGACATGAAGCGAATCTTCTGGCGCTGGGTGCGGGACGGCAACTTCGACATGCAGGACCTGTAGGGTTTAGGGTTTAGGGTTAGGGCTTAGGGTTTAGGGCTTAGGGGTTTAGGGGTCTATGGTTCATATACCTGAATAGGAATTAGAGTAAGTAGTTTAGGGTATATGACCCCAATTTGAGGATTCATCTGGTCCCCAGGGTTGCGGACCGAAACGCTCACTCTGTGGTTTTAGCCATCAGAATCAGAACCCATGAGCCAAATTCATCAGGGCCCCAAGAAAATCTTTACATCCTGCTTACACGTACATAGGGAGTGGACGGGGGTGATATATGATATAGAGGCTCGCATCTTTACGTGCGCGTATCTCTACAGACTTGCTGAGATACTCATATGTGGAAACTGACAGACCGGTCTGACAGCATTCTCAATGATATGACCTATGATCAACCATTTGGCGTTTGCATCACAGCTGTCACGCCCTGAAAGCCCTGAAGACGTAGGAGAACACAAAACTAAGGTAAGGGTGTACGGTTTACGGTTTACGGTTTACGGTTTACGGTTTAGGGCTTAGGGCTTAGGGTTTAGGGTTAAGGGTTAAGGGTTTAGGGTTTGGTGTTCTGAACCCTTCCCTCAAGATGCGGGAGTCGAAATGCAGCCGCGCAGGACCTCTTGCAAGCTGGCTGCCCGTTGTCCGAGTGCCTGGGCCCCCCCTTTTCATCCATGTATGGGGTTGAGACTTCAGGGTTCAGGCTTTACGGGTTTGGGGTTTAGGGTTTAGGGTTTAGGGTTTAGGGTTCACGGTTTAGGGTTTAGGGTTTAGGGTTTAAGGTTTAGGGTTTAGGGTTCGCGGTTTAGGGTGTCGACCGTCCAGAGGGCCTGGCCCATCGTGGTGTCTTTGCGATGCACAGGAACCCTGAACCCTGAACCCTAAACCCTAAACCCTAAACCCAATGTTGGTTCTAGTTGGGGCCCACAGAAGCAAGTACAACCCCTACTCGCTCAACCCCACGATCCTTTCTCTCAGACGCCGCCGCAAGGGTAGTTCTGTAAATCATGGTCCCCCTATATACAAAACTGGACTCGAAACCCTAAACCCTCAACCATAAAACCCTAAAACCAAATACAAAGACTCATTTAAAACAAAACCCTAAAATATAAAACCCACCCTAAGAACCCTCAACGCCCTAAACCCTAAATACGAATCATAAGAACAACGCAAAGAAGCTCTCATGAAGGTTCCGGGAACTCTAAACCCTAAACCCTATACCCTAAGCCCTAAGCCCTAAGCCCTAAGCCCTAAGCCCTAAGCCCTAAGCCCTAAGCCCTAAGCCCTAAGCCCTAAGCCCTAAGCCTAAACCCGAATCATAAGAAGCTCCTCATGAAGGTTCCGGGAGGCCGGCTGGAAGGCTTGCGCCTTGAAGGAGCAGGGCCTCTTCGAGGCAGCTGAGCTGAAAGGCCCCCGGTTCAGGGCTTAGGGTTTAGGATGTAGGGTGTAGGGTTTAGGGTTTAGGGTTTAGGTTTTAGGGTTTAGGGAGAGTTGAGGGTTTAGGGTTGGGGGTTTACATGCTGTCCAGATTTCCTGCAGCAATTGCAACGGGCTCAACCAGCTCCGTTCTCAGACGTCAAAGTTAGGGTTTTCTCATGGGTACCGGTTTAGGGTTTAGGGTTTAGGGTTTAGGGTTTAGGGTAACCGGGTAGCCTACGAAAACTAAGTTTTGGGTTCTGAGGGTTTGCCCAAACCCAGTGTTAATCCTGCAGTTTAGCGGGCGGGTGACACAAACATAGCCGTAAACTCTGGGCAGCGACGATTCAACTACCCCCCTTAAGCCCCCCCCCCCCCCGCCCTTAAACCCCCCTTAAACCCCTCTTAACTCTGGGCTAACTTGCTCCAGCTTGAACTCACTCAGCCCTGTGCAGCTACTGCAATCCTTGCTTCGGGCATCGCGCCTAGAGGTTAGGATTCGGAATTGTGCTGACAGCACTCTACAAGGGAAATTAGTTGGGCCATTGGGGGGGGGTGGGGGTTAGACCCTACACTAAAAACCCTAAGCCCTAAAACCCTACACCCTAAACCCTAAACCATAAACCCTAAACCATAAACCCTGAGAAGCTCTGGGAGCAGGCGCGGGCTATGTGTGCCGCGAGCTGAAGGAGGCCGGCTACAGCGTCGAGGAGCCGTGTGAGAGTGCAACGCTGCAGGGTTTAGGGCTCAGGGTTTCAGGGTTTCAGGGTTTCAGGGTTTTAGGGCTCAGGGTTTCAGGGTTTAGGGTTTAGGGTTTCAGTGTTTAGGGTTTCAGGGTTTCAGGGTTTTGGGGCTCAGGGTTTCAGGGTTTAGGGTTTCAGGGTTTAGGGTTTCAGGGTTTCAGGGTTTCAGTGTTTCAGGGTTTCAGGGTTTCAGGGTTTCAGGGTTTCAGGGTTTAGGGCTTAGGGCCAATTAAGGGTTTAGGGGTTAGGTTTCAGGAGGGATTCTTTAAGTCCCTTGCTCAAAAAAGGGTGATTCTCAAGCACAGTTGCAAAAAGGGGGGCGCACTTTTGCATGAATCATTCAGCTATTGCAAGGTCTCCTTCTTCCAGGGGTAGGGTCAGTTAACCAAGTAGTCCTAGCACCCCCATGAGAGAGTGTAGCACTGAGAGTGGAAGCCCCTTATTGCAGGAGTTGCACTCTGGCGGCTACACGCTGGAGGATCTTCTTGCTGGCGGCTGCACTGCCAACGAGCTTCAGCTTTCGTGGGCTTGTGCTCTCCAAGCTCCGCCAACTTTAAGGGTGTGGGGTTGAGAGTTTAGGGGCTGAGAGCTTTTCACGGTGTTTGTGAACAAAACGCCGATTGGCCCTCTACTGCTAGTCTACTCCTGATACTTCAGAAGCCCGGAAACCGAAACCCTAAACCCCAAAACCAGCTCCCCTGAATCCATTATAACCAACCCTAGACCCTATAAACTCCATCCCTATAGACCCTATAGACCTATAAAGGCTACACACCCCTTAAACCCTGCCCCAGTCTCAACGGCCTTGGGGAAGGGGGGGGGGCCCAGTTGGTGCTGGGGTTTAGGGTTTAGGGTTTAGGGTTTAGGGTTTAGGGTTTATGGTTTGAGGCTTCGGGAAGGTTAGGGTTTAATCGCAGGGCTCAAGGGCAGCCGGTTGCAGGCCAGGCAACGCAGGGCTTTGTAGCGGGGAGTGAGAGGATGAGCCCTCAAAGGGTTATACATAGGGAGGTATAAGGTGCCAGTGAGAATGAGGCCTTAAAGGGTCGTATAGGGAGATGTATAAGGTGCCGGCAGGAAAGGCAGTGCTTCAACATGAAGCTCCGGAGACCACCAAACTGCTTTTTGGGGTGGACGAAGCAGGGTGTGGAGGGGTTCTACTTTGGACCCTTAAGGTTGTACCCTTGCGTTTTGGGGTCCCTTGTTAGGGATCCCTAACAGTAGTATGTTAAGGAACCTTTGGGGTACAACCTTAGGGGTACGAGTCTGAAATCCCCTGAGGGTGTTGGGGGGCCTAGGAGGTCTAGAATTGAGAATGGCTTGGCAGCTGAATCGTGAGCAGCCCAAGAAGCCGTGGCCTAAACCCTTGACCCTAAACCCTAAACCCTTTATCCTAAACCCTTTATCCTAAACCCTAAACCCTAACCCTAAACCCTAGACCGCTTGAAGTCCCTTGAATCGAGCTGAGGAGGTGCGTGGCCTTGGCTACTCCGTGCAGCAGATGCGGGCGGCCGGCTTCACGGCCGAGCTGCGGCTCGGCAGCTGCCCTGATGGGGATAATATACTGCATGGGGTAGGGTGTAGGGTTTAGGGTTTAGGGTTTAGGGTTAAGGTTTTAGGGTATAGCGTTTAGCGTTTAGCGTTTAGGGTTTAGGGTTTAGGGTTTAGGGTTTTCGGGGGTTTATGGACAAAGGGGACCCCCAATTTTGATCCCCAATAGTAGGATCCCCTTGTAATAAGAGCCCCAAGAAGGTACCCCCCAGGCCACCAAAGCCTTATTCTGATTGTGGAGGGCTATATACTATACCAGGGCAGCTCGAAGCGTTTAGGGCTGTATGGGTTGAGCCCCACTCCATTGCTGCCAGGTCGCCAGGTTTGCTAGGACATGTAGATTGTTCACCCTAAACCCTGAACCCTGAACCCTAAACCCTAAACCCTATAAACCTCAGGGTTTCGGGCCGCCAGCTGAAAACGGCTCAGTGGCCCGGGAGACCGGAAATCAAAGTAATTGCAGTCGGGGAACCGGTTTAGGGGGTGCCGGATCCCCTTTATCGAACCCCCCTCCCAAAAAAAAAGAACAAAAAAGGGGGGAGGGGGGCGGGGGGGGGAGCACCTTTGCGATCGTTAGCCGAGAACCCTAAACCCTAAACCCTAAACCCTAAACCCCAAGTCTCCCAAAGACGGCGCTCGCGGCAAAGAGGCTCCGCGCCAGCGGCTTCCCAGCCGATCAGCTCCGCGACGGGGGCGGCTCGGCTTCTTTGTTCTCAGTGCTTGGAGGCAATAAGCCCGAAACCCTAAGCCCTAAATCGGGTGGCAACAAAAACCCTAAACCCTAAACCCTAAACCCTAAACCCTAAACCCTAAACCCTAAACCCTAAACCCTAAACCCTAAACCCTAAACCCTAAACCCTACACGTGGGAGTTGAACCAGTTTGGGTTTCGGAAAGAGAGTTTCCTCCTCTGAGTGGCGTACCGGAACTTCTCCTCACATCGGTGGGAGAGGGCGGGACAGTAGAATGCTGAATCGCCAGCATGCCTAGTGCACAGAAGCTCCCGAAACCAACCCCTAAACATCCCTGAATTGCTAAGAACCCCGAAGCACACAAATCACAGTGATGCGAGTGGCCGACTGCTTCTTAGGAGGGAATGAGGGGAACTGGGTTGCCTTACATCCCTCCTTGTACATACCTTCAAGGGATGATATGTGGTGCTTACCTCCCTCCTGCATCCCCTAAACCCTAAACCCCAAACCCCAAACCGTAAACCCTAAACCCTGAACCCTGAACCCTGAACCTAGCCAGCTCAGGCTACAGAGCCGGGGAGCTAAGGTTGGCTGGTGACTCGGAGCTCTGGGGGACCTTAAGAGTGGCGACCTCTCCATCTTTTTCGCAAGAGGGTTCGGGATCCCGACACCCGGGTTTGGGGTTTAGGGTTTAGGGTTTAGGGTTTAGGGTTTAGGGTTTAGGGTTTAGGGTTTAGGGTTTAGGGCTGAAAAGGATTTAGGGCTCAAAAGGGTTTAGGGCTCATATCCCTGATTCCGGGCTGAGGCCTTCAAGTGCACAGAAAGCTCACCCCCCCTCTTCCCCACCTCAAAACCCCAAACCCTCACGCAAACCTGGCGCCCTAAACCCTCAACTGGCTTGTTCGAGCCTGAGCGGTTCAGCCCTTTAGCCCTGAAACCTGCAACCGTAAACAAAATAGCCGCAGCAAGCAGAATATGCGTAAGACATTTGCGTAGCCGTTGTAATATTGATATCAACATTAGAACATTATAACAGCCGTGTCAGTACTACAAGAAAGCAGAAGAATGGTAGCATGCGAAATAGCAAAATATATTCATATCGCAAAAGAACATCTGAAAGCAGCAGCCGCCGTGACCCTACTTGAAGGTTCATGGGTTACTGATAAGTAGTGTTATAAGGTGCCCAAAGTAAGATGAGAACCGCAGTTATCCTACTTGTAGCTATACCATGAACCTCCAGGTGATACAGGGAGCTGATTGTCTGAAAGGTACACACCTTAAAAAAAGTAAAGATTAAAAAAAAAAAAAAAAAAAACAACATGTCGGGGGGCTTTTTTGCAGCCGAAATTGAGACCTTGAGCTCAGGCTACTCCATACTGCAGCTGCGCACCGGCGGCTACACCGTCCAGGAGGCGCGGGATTCGCAAGAGAAGCCCAAGTTACGCCCCAGCGTTGATCGCAGGATCCTGAACTATCTTTGGGCAGCAGGGTGCAGAGCCATGCTTAGGGAGGAAACCCTACGCCCTACGGCTCAAGCCAATTTAGCATCACTTTGAGCTGTTTTTGCTCCTCCTCCGTGTTGCTTTCGGCAACATGGACTTCGACGACCTTGACGATGCGATCGAACAGAGGATTGCCGAAGGCGACACGGAGGCGTTGGCCAACCTCAGCGGCGTCACGACAGCAAAGAAGGAACTGAAAAAGTTCTCCGGATCGCTGAAGGGCATGCCTCGCAACAAGGGATTTCCCCAGATCGATCAGATCTACGCCCTCGGCACGCAAATCAAGATGAGAGCTTTCATCTTCTACGGCCCGGGCGACCTCGCCGAGGAGTTCCGCTTCGCGCTCCTCGGCGTGCCGAAGTGGATGGAAGTTGGCATCTACGAGTGGCCAGGACATGGCACTCGAGAGGGCGAGCCGTATGCGGAGAACTTTGAGGCTTTGGCCAAGGACGCCCTCGACCACCTTACGCCGATGCTGGACCAGGTGAAGGAGGGAGGTGAGTTCGAGGGTGCACCCTTTGCCTTCATCGGCAAGTCGGTTGGTTGTCAGCTGCTCACTTGGCTTGCGAAGACAATCCTGGTGAAGCATGGGATTGGCCCTTCCGCCGTGGTCGTCGTGGACCGCGCGCCGCCCCACATCCCCTTGCTGAATGAGCATGGCCAGTCCGAACTGAAGTCGAACCCGGACAAGGTCTTTGTGGCTGAATGAGTACACTACACACTTTTTGGGATACTAGATTGGGGGCTTATGAACCCTAACCCTGCCTGCGGTTCGGCCAACTATGCGGGAGCGAAAAAAACCCTAAGAGGTGGTCAAGGCCTTCAACTACGCGACCTTCGAGGAGGTGGACCGAAAGATGTGGGCTAAGGACCTCAGCTACGCCAACGAGACGCTTGACGCCTTCTACCACAAGTTCGACTGCCCCGTCACTTTGGCATAGTTGGGTAACAGTTTTACATCTTCCAAGGTACTTAAAAACCCAATAAGGAATAGAAATCATCCTTTTTCATACTATCCCGGTACTTAAGCCCAACAAGGAATAGAAATTCGAGTTTTTAATACTATTTTTAGATACCATTTTTAATACTATTCTGAATGCTATTTAAAAATACTATCCCAACCATGAACTACAGGTCATGGTCTTGAAAGGGCAGTTCGACCAAGCCAGCGATGCCTTCGGAAAGAAGAAGAGCAAGTTCAAGGCTGTGACCGTGACTCGGTAGGGGTTTAGGGTTTAGGGTTTAGGGTTTAGGGTTTAGGGTTTAGGGTTTAGGGTTGAGGGTTGAGGGTTTAGGGTTTAGGGGGCCACCTTGCGACATGTTGTATTTCCCTTCTTGGGTTTATCAGAGGATCATGCTCAGGAACCCCAAGCCCTAAACCCTAAACCCTAAACCCTAAACCCTAAACCCTAAACCCTAAACCCTAAACCCTAAACCCTAAGCCCTGTACATTTTTCAGATGGTTTTAAGGGGGCCCTCCGAGGTGAAGATCAAGGGCTCTGAGGAGACGATCGACTTGCCCGCAGAGTCCGAGACCACCGTCAAGGAGACCTTGTGGCTTATAGTAGGGAGGGCAACCCTACATCCCTATATATATAAATATATATATATATATATATATATATAATTATATATATTAGCTTTAAATATATAGTTATAAATATGTATGTCTTTGTATATGTATATATACATAGACCCTTGAAAAGGATTATGTATGGCAGCCTCATTCCCTCATTCCCTACCAAGAGCCAGCTTAAGGAGATGCTGTCAGCTGTGGACAAGATGTTCAGCTACTTGGTAGGCCAGTGGTACCCATTTGCCCTTTGTTTTGGTTCTAGGTTCCCTTCTAAAGTAGCCAATAACAAAAAGGGTACCCTTACTATAATACGTGTACTGGGCTACCAAGGCTACACGAGGGGTGCCAACCTCAAGTGCTTCTCCCCGGATGGCCGCGAGATCGCGCCCGACAGCACCGTTCCAGCTGCCAGGTCGGCCCTTGAGCGATTTTTTTGATGCTTACCATTATTTTAGGCCCCTGAGGGATATTTTTGTTATTTTCCCTTGTTTTGGGCTCTTAGGGAATATTTTGAGCCATTTTCCTTTTTATTGTTTGAGGTGTTCCCCTACATTGGGTTCAAGAGGATTATATTGAGGCCTGGATGTAAAAACAAAACGGGGATGATATTGAGGAATCTCTTGTCAGGCCTTTTTGTTTAAGGGAACCCTAAACCCTACACCCTACACCCTAAACCCTAAACCTAAGGGGCATCTTAGGCTGTCATCGTGGTCGATGGCCTGAAGGACTTCCAGCACCCCCGCCACTCTTGGGAGCACCCGGTGGGCGTCATTGGCGGCGGCTTCTATGGCGTGAAGCTGGGCATGGAGTACATGCTGCACAGGAACGAGAACATCGTGCTTTTCGATCGCCACGCCCAGGCAGGGGGCGATGCATGGCACTGCTCAGCGACGAAGTACTCGCGATGCCAGACGGACTTCGGAGCCTTCAACCCGTGGTGGGGTCACCAGTATTGCTACAGCGGGGACAAGGGCTACGGCTCCAATCCCAAGTCCGGAGGCCGTGCCAAGTTCAGTGCCTCGTTCGACGGCCCTGGCGCACCTAAGGGCGGCTCGGGTGCAGGCACTGGGGTGGACTACCACCCAGTCAGGGCACAGCTGCTGGACGCCATGCGCTACTGCATTGAGGAGTACGGCTTCACAAAGCACTGCAACTTTGAGACGGAGGTCTCTACCTTGAAGATTGTCGGCGATCCCGAAGCCGAAGACCGCTACTACGAGCTGGGCCTGACGAAGCTCGACAAGGCCAGCATCGAGCTCGCGGGTGGAGGCTACGGCGGCTACGGCACCACCGGCGCCATGCGCGCAGCCACCTCCACCGTCAAGGTCTCGCTTGTCTACCACTTCCCCGGTGCATATGACATCAACCGCATCGTCGACTATCCTGGTGAGGACGAGTTCATCGCGGGGGGTGGACAGATCGGCTACGGCATGGGCAACGGTCAGGGCGGGCTCTTCACGTGGGACGACGGCCGCATGAAGGACGCGCGAGCCGCGATCTTGGGCAATGGCGCCTTCGCGGTGGAGAACGTCCGGAGCTGCGTGGAGAATGCCGCTGCCAAGGTCTACATCATCACTCGGCGGAAGAGCCTCTTGGTAGCCCAGTTCTGTACCCTTCTCTTTTTTTTTGTTTTGGGTTCTGGTTCTGCTTCCCTTATAATGGTAGACAACCAAAAACAAAAATGGTGCCCTTATTGTAAAATGCCTACCGGGCTACCAAAGCCATTATACCCTATAATCCCTTAAAAGGCCCTTTTTAGGGTTCATTATGAGGATGTTAAGCAAAAAAGGGTGCCCCCTTATTGTAATATGGTTTCTGGGCTACGAAGGCCTGCTTTGCCCGCGCCTGCCGTGTTGGTTCTGCCACCAGGGCCCAGACCCAACACCAGCCTGGCAGCTGCTGAACCAGTTCCTTATCATGTTGGTGCAGGGTTTAGGGTTTAGATGCAAAAAGGGTTTAGGGTTTAGGGTTAAGGGTTTTGGGTTTAGGGTTTAGTGAGGAATGGGGGGGGGGGGATGAGGTAGGTACCCTATAGAATCCCTAAAGGGTATGTATATATATATAATGGAGGGATATAGGGTGCCTGATTCCCTCATTGCAAACCAGCAGTCAGGTTCAAGCCGATGTACGCATGCGCAGGCATCGAGGACCCCTTCAAGTTCTATGCCGTGGCTTGGCTTTCTTCTGGCTGGCCTCTTAGGACTTCAACTTGTTGGTTCTCTACCAAAAGTTTAAAACCCTAAACCCTAAACCCTAAACCCTAAACCCTAAACCCTAAACCCTAAACCCTAAACTTTTAGGAGGGGTTCAGAAGTCAGCCGAGGTGTGTGGGTAGTGGCGAGGCGGACTGCCAGATCAAGCAGAGCAGTCGCTTCGGCATTGGCGATGTCACCTTCCTCGCGCACGCCTATGGTCTTCTAGAGTAACCTCGGTAGCTCAGTGGTGCCCTTTCTCTCTCTTTTTTTTGGGCTCAAGGTTCCCTTATCAAAGTAGCCAACCCCAACAAAGGTGCCTCTATGTTTGATACCTTGTTTTTGGCTTCCGGGTTCCCTTGCAGAGTAACCACCCCCCCCCCCCCAAAAAAAAAAGAAAGAAACATATGTTACTCCGAACGTCCCCACCCTCTCTTGGTAGAGATACCCTGAGGTTGGCCACTCTAATCAACACTCTGGGGCCACTCTGGGGACAATCTGGGGTTGGGCACTCCGGGGTTCGGGAGACTCTGGGCCGGGCACTCCGGGGACACTCTGGGGTTGGGGGGGGGGGGGGGCTCTGGGACAAGAAGAAGAGTTCCGGGCGAGGAGAAGAGTTGAGTTGAAAATCTAGCAACCCCACACCCGAGGGTGGGGAAAAAAGGTAAAAAAAGTGCCCTTATTTGAGTATGGTGACCGGGCTGCCAAGGTACCGTGTGGACACCCTGGCGAGATGCAGCGCCAAGACCTTGCATCTATCCGGTGGCTTGCTTCGCCAATACTTGACCGGGTTTAGGGTTTAGAGTTTAGAGTTTAGGGTTTAAACTTGTTGGGTTTCCTTAGGGCCCCCCCCCCCAACAAATTTGAATTGAGGATTTAGGGCAAAAGGGGCTTAGGGAGGAATGAAGTTTAGCCTCCATGTTTTGAAAAAAGCCCTTGCTTAGTTGGAGAAGTAAGGTGGCACCCATGAACCTCCAAGTAGGGTTCAGGGTTTAGGGTTCAGGGTTTAGGGTTCAGGGTTTAGGGTTGAGGGTTTAGGGTTTAGGGTTTAGGGTTTAGGGTTTAGGGCTTCGGCGGTTTCGGGTTGCACACCTCCGAAAGCAAGGTGGGGAGAAGCTGGAGAACATGGACCACATAAACCCTAAACCCTAAACCCTAAACCCTAAACCCTAAACCCTAAACCCTAAACCCTAAACCCTAAACCCTAAACCCTAAACCCAAGTAAGGTGGGGAGAAGCTGGAGAACATGGACCACATTTGCAAGGCACTGGGACTCATCGGCGACCCGAGGGTCGACAAGCTCCATGCCATGACCCACAAGGTGGGGAACTAGGTTTAGGGTTTAGGGTTTAGGGTTTAGGGTTTAGGGCTTAGGGCTTAGGGCGTAGGGTTTAGTGTTCAGGGTCTAGGGTTTAGGGCTGGGACCCGGAGTAGGCCCTTATTCCCCTTTTGTTTTTTTTGTGTTTCGGCTCCCTTATTCACCTTTTTGGGTTGAGGGTTTAGGGTTTAGGGTTTAGGGCTAGGATTCAGAGTAGACCCTTCTCCCCCTTTTTGTATTGTTTTGACTTCCTCATAAGCCCCTTTCAGCCAAGAAGGGCACCTTTTTGTTTTTACTAGGGCTGCTCTTGGGTCTAGGTGGGGAACATGATCAACGGCGACTTCCGACGGGTCATGACCGCCGATGCTACCGGCATGGACGCCAAGCGCTTCACCACGTTCTCTGCTGGCCCTGGCGCTTGCGGCTTCGTAACTCGGCCGGCCCTGTTTTTTTGTTTCTATTTTCCCTACTTGCTGGGTTTAGGAGGATCATGTCCAGGAATATTTTTCAGAGGGATTTAAGGGCCATCCGAGGTAAAGCAGTGGTACTACATGCACAATCACCCCTGGGAGTTCAGGGAGGCGGTCGCGCAAGGCATGATGAAGCTGCTGCCTGTGCACAAGAAGAGCGACACACAGCCGGACCAGCCCGTGTACATGACCAACGTTCAGTACGAGATGTGGGCTGGCGGCGTGTTTGGAAGCTATTTCCCAAATGCAGGCCGCGCTTTCGGCGACGAGGCGTCTTACAAGTACTCTCTAATCCACACGATGCACCCGGTGCACAAGTTCTACGAGTACTGCAAGGCGGACTGGGATAGGTACCAGAAGATGTTCCAGGAAAACTGCAAGGGCTGTGCGGACAAGAACGTGCCATATCCCTACACTTTGGACCACGTCAAAAGTTGGTTTGACGAGTACAACACGAAGTTGAACTGTCAGACATCGATGGAAGGCCCCAGCGAGTCATTCAGAAAGAGCACCATCGACGTGTTCCAAAGGAGCGACGTGGCGCTTCAGCGCGAGCTCATTCCCAATTTGGTGAAGGAGTTCAAGCTGGTCAAAGCGAAAGACGGGGAAGATCCCTACACCCAAGTGCAGGCCAACAAGGTCTACGAGTTGAAAAAGCCGCTCACATCCTCCAACGCCGACTCTTGGTAGCCCACTGGTACCCTTTACTTTTTGTCTTTACGTCCCTCATAAAGTAACCAACCCAAAAAGGGTAACCTCACTAGAATAAGATGGTTGCTGGGCTTCTCAGGACTCATGCATGAACTTCGACGAGCAGCAAACAAGTCTGTGGAAGGATCTGGTCGCGGATGGCTTCACGTGCCACATGGAGGAAGTGCCTTGCAGCTCAGCCGGCGCGTTGCAGGATGGGACGTCTTGGGCAAAGATCGTTGGCCTCTTGGATAAGCTCAAAGCCGAATGAGCTACATCCCCCAGCGGGATGTGCCTGAATTTTGAGGACATGTGTCTGTATGTGCTTCCTAGTAATGGCCCCTCGTGCGTTGTCGATCAAATCTCGCTACGCTAGGCCATATACAAATATACTACCTGAATATCGTGTACATGTAGCGATGTGTATGTGCATATTATGTATATGCATAGGCATGTACGTAAGCAAAAATGCTTTTGCTGTGCGGCTACGCCCCCCCGACTCGAACGAGTATACCGTTGTAGAGTGCGTCGGCGCATGGTGCCTCCGCAGTAAAGACCTGCGAAGGTTGTGCGCCCGCAAAAATAGTCATAGCAAGCTTTGGCAGCAGATGGACTGCACATAGTTTTGTATCTTCCACGGACGTGTAGCACCGCCCGGGGAGAAAGAGCAGACACCAGGTATCCTTGGGGCGAAGGAACTTGTAAATCCAAAACCATGCCTATCCCTAAACCTTAACCCTAAGCCCTAAGGATCCTTGACTTGAACCGGAGTGAATAGATGAAGTTGTTAAGTCCCAGTACTGAGAGGCGAGAGGAGCACTGAAGTAGAGCCACAGAAAAGACTAGCAACGGTAGGGTGTAGGGTTAGGGTTGATTTAGGGTAGGGTTCCTTTTTTTTGACGGGACGGACAAGTGCCATGCGGCGCGTTGCTTACAGGGTAGGGTTTAGAGTTTAGGGTGCAGGGCGAAAACGCGCAGAATGTTTGGAGTTTGGTCTTGTAGATTAGGCCCCCAAATCCACTCCAGTGTGTTCGTAACGCCCAGGTGAATCTGGCCGGCTACACCCGCACTGGCGGACCCTTTGCTGCAGAGCCCATTGGGATGTCAGGGATTTATGGGTGTTTTTTTTCCCGTGGGTTTCCCTACTGACCCCCTCAATACTAACCCCCCCCCCCCCTTTAAAGAACCTTAATTTGGCTTAATTGGCCTTTCTTAGCCTTACTTATGGGGGGAGGGGTAGAGAGGGGGCAGACCCCAATAGGAACCCTAGGCCCGAATCCCTAATTCTGATTTCCCAGAAGGACCGTCTGTTCAACCCCAATGTGCATTTCTCGATTTACAAAAAAGTCTGTGGGATTCAGACAGAGGCAAAATTCAGGGATTATGGTTCAGGGTTGACGGTGGGGCCACGTTTACGGGTTTGGTCTTGGGCACCCTGCCCTTAGGGGCCTTTGAAGCATTCTGAACGCGGCGGAAACTCCGCGTTTGCGCCGCGAGATCCCCCCCAAGCATTCAAAGAACCGAGCCCCCTTCACCCTTGTAAATGTGTCTGGGCTTCAGGGGGTTTAGGGTTTAGGGTTTAGGGTTCAGCCTCATGAAGGGTTTAGGGTTTAGGGTTTCGGGTTTAGGGTTTAGGGTTCAGGCTCATCGAAGCTCCCAACACCTTGACCGAGCGGGTGGCAGCCAAGTGGCACGCCCCGAGTCAGCCCGAAAGGAAATTTCCGGAAGCCCTTCAGGCCCTCAATCGCCCCCAAACTTGGAGGTTCATGAGTACTTATATAACCCTAAACCCTAAACCCTAAACCCTAAACCCTAAACCCTAAACCCTAAACCCTAAACCCTAAACCCTAAACCCTAAACCCTAAACCCTAAACCCTAAACCCTAAACCCTAAACCCTAACCCTAAACCCTCATAGGGTACCCTGAACCCCCAAAACACGCAGCTCCCAGGCATACAGCAGCTGAGGGCCGCAGGATACACGGCCGAGGAGCTCCGCGGCGGCGGCTACACGGCACAGGCAGAGGGAGGGGTTTGGAGTTTGGGGTTTAGGGTTTAGGGTTCAGGGTTTAGGGTTAAGGGTGGGGTTTCGGGCGGGTTCGGGTTGCAGGGTTTTGGGGCTTCAGGGGTTTGAGGGGTGCCGAGGGATGGACTTGTAGTTGATAGATTAGGGCCTTCGGGGCCGATATGGTTAAAGGTTTAGGGTCTCTCTATCTCTCTCTCTATCTCTCTCTTTCTCGCTCTTTCTCTTTCTATATGGTATGAATAGAGGCGATAGGGCCTACAGGGTTTAGGGCTAAGAGCTGTGCAGCAGGAGCCGAACTGTAACTTTTTTCAAGATCAAGCACTCTAATCCCTACATTGTCATAGCCCTAGCTAGCCCAGATCCCCGTTCTGATTGACTAGGCCGCGTGTAAGCAGCGCTTGTTGTGCTATATACATCTTTGGCGTCAGTACTTGCAGCTCGAGTTTGCCTCAGACAGTGGATCTAGGAACCTTTTGCCATGTCTAGAGCCGTACAGCCCTATAAGCCCAAAAAACCTGTTGTGCCACTTCGGCGTTTTCGGCGTTTGCCAGGCGAAAAAGCTTACAATCCCAACAGCAAGCGCTCAACAACCTTTGGTTATATTTCCTCATTTAGCTTCTATTTCGAATTTCAGGAGGTCAGTAACCCTAAACCCAAGATCCTAGACCCTAGACCCTAAACCCCAAACCCCAAACCGTAAACCCTAACCGAAACGGGTGGGAAAAAAAAACCAAACCCTAAACCCTAACCCAGGAGGTCAAGAAGGCCGGCTACACCTTCCAGCAGCTGCGGACGGGCGGCTACACCGCGGAGCAGCTCCGGCACTGCGGCTTCAAGGCCTCTATCCCTAAACCCTAAGCCCTAAACCCCAAACCCCAAACCCCAAGCCCTAAACCCTAAACCCTAAACCCTAAACCCTAAGCCCTAAGCGCAGTGCGGGTTCGCCCTAAACCCTAGACCCTGAACCCATTTACTAGGACTCGGAGTAGGGCCTTTGCCAGTGCCATTCCTGCAAGCTCGTGGCCCTAAACCCTAAACCCTAAACCCTAAACCCTAAACCCTAAACCCTAAAACCTAAACCCCTGCACCGCCCTCGTGGCGTAGGGCTGAGGGTTTTGGGGTGAACTGCATGGGGCAGGTTTGGACATCATCTGCGTTCTCTTATTCCCCTTAGTCCCCTGCATCACCCGCTCCCAAACCTACCCCAGTTCAGGGACCTCATAGTTAGGTTACGAGAGCCCCTAAAGACCTAAGTTCCTGGAAGGATAGGCTTACGGTTTGGGGTTTGGGGTTTAGGGTTATTAGGGTTTGGGGTTTAGGGATGGCAGGTGGAGCAACTGCGGGCGGGAGGCTACACGACGAACCAGCTGCGCGCTGGCGGCTTCACCGCCCAGGAGGTCTCCACCTTTAAAGTCTGACGATCAAACCCCTAAACCCATAACCCTAAACTTCGAAGCCCTAAACCCTAAACATCCCTACGTTCAAGGCTTTAGCGTTCAGGGTGAACCTTAAAAGGCCCCGCATTCTCTAAGCACATAGAAAGGGGCCGGGCGGGCGAGAGACCAGGGCCACAAATTTGGGTTTAGGGTTTAGGGTTTAGGGTTTCGGGTTTAGAGCTTAGTTGGGGTTAGGGTTTAGGGTCCAACTCACGTGTTTTTTCCGCATGCGACGCGCCTTCCATCATGCGTCCCCCCGAGGGTCCAGCTTTCAAGGGCTTGGAGCTCCACAATCGGTCTTATAAATGGGGCTATAAGAAGGGTACTTATATGGTCATTAGAGTAGGGTACTTATAACTTATAACCCTACCTGTAAAGTACCCATCCATGAACGGTACTTGTAACGATATGGTCATTAAAGTAGGGTACTTATAGCTTGTAACCCCTTTAAAGTACCTATGAACCTCCAAGTAGGCTTGTAGGATATCGAGAGCCCGAAGATGGGAGCAGATGCAGACTTGAGTGACTTGGAAGAGGAATTCTCACGACACCTTCGGTTCCTATGCCCCGGCAGCCTGCCCCAAATCCCTAAACCCTAAACCCTAAACCTTAAACCCTAAGCCTTGTAGGAAAAGGGGCAGGAGTCTAGGCCCTTGGTATCTCTTTTTTCGGGAACCTTATCAGCCACTCCTAGGTTACTCTTGGGTCTAGGAGTCCCCCCTAAACCCTCAACCCTAAACCCTCAACCCTAACCCCTAACCCTAAACCTTAACCCTAAACCCTAAACCCGTTCCGAAGCCGGACCCTTCTAATCGTCGGCAACGCGCAAGACTCGAAAGGAGCTTGCTCCCAGGCACCCAAGTACCCGACCGCTCTAGGTGCGGGGCTTGAACACGTGTTCGGTCGTATGGATAGATGTTTAGGGTTTATAGGGTCTAGGGTTTAGGGGTTGGGTTTCAGGGTTTAGGGGTTAGGGCTTAGGGTTTAGGATTCCTTTCTTACGTTTAAGCGCCAAGGCAAAGCAACTGAAAGGGTTGTACTGGGATAAAGCATCAAACCGGAAAGAGGCCCAGGAGGCTTCTGCCGTTATCTTTCGGCAACGGGTTGCCGCGGTGTGTATCTCTCGGACCCCTTTCACCCCTAAGCCTTAGATCGAGAAAGAATCATCCCGAACCCTGAACTATAAACCCTATAAAGCCCGATGACGCCCTATGAACCCTCTCAAACCGATAAAGCCTACCATAAACGAACCCTAAACCCTAAACCCCAAACCCTAAACCCTAAACCCGATATTCGCTCTCTGGAGATGGTGCTGCAGAAACCCTAAACCCTAAACCTATGAACTCCTAAAAGCCCGTTAACGCTACTGGGGGCCTGGGGCCCCGACGCCAGATCTTAAGGAACCAGGGGGGGGTGTAAGGGCCCGGTATGAAGGGAAGATGGCCACTTACACCCTAAACCCCAAACCCCAAAGCCCTAAACCCCAAACCCTAAACCCTAAACCCTAAACCCTAAGCCCTTCCACCTCCTTTGGTTCCCTATGGCCGGATCTTAATTGAGTGTTTGGGGCCTCCAGGGCCCTGGCCCCAAAGGGGCCTCCTTCCTGGAGCCCCCAGCTTGGGCCGAGTGCGACTCCCAAGAGGACAGCGCGGCCAAAGGGAGATGCTCTGGGGGTTTAGGGTTTAGGGTTTAGGGTTTAGGGTTAGGGGCTCAGGGCAAAGCGTTACATCCTGAGAACCTCCGCTGACTACTGAACCCGAACCCTGATTTAGGGCCTGGAAAGTCCAGGGTTTAGGGTTCAGACTAGCAATGAGTGTTATCTGAGATGGGGACCCTAAAATAGACCCCCAAATCGTAGGATTCCCTTGTAATCAGGACAAAGGTACCCCTAATTTCGCAATACGGACCCCAATAAACACTAAGCCCTAAACCCTAAGCCCTAAACCCTAAACCTTAAACCCTAAACCGTTTCGGGGTTCAGGGTGGGGTCTGCGTAGCTTAAGGCTTGTGGGTCCATCGCAAGGTAAGCGGCAAAGCCTGACATCTTCAAGCCCTTAGGACCAACCCCAAACCCTGCACACCAAAACATTTAACCTGTTTAGAGTTTAGGGTTTAGGGTTTAGGGTGGTCAGTGGTAAGCGCTTCGGCTTCACCAAACCTCCTGGAATGCCAAGCAGGACCTTCTGCAAGGGCAGGACCCGGCGCGGGGCCTAGGAAAATCAACACAAACCCAGAAAGGCATCCTAACCTTCTGCCGAAATCCCTAAACCCAATACCTACAACCCCCGAACACCAACTCCCGGACCAAAGTGTCCAACCAGAAGGGGGTTTGGGTTTTCAGGGCCCGTAAGTCCCAACCCGGATGGATAAAAATAGCCCCTCACTACAATCCCTTTGCAACGCGGGCCGCGCTAGGGTGGCGAGACCAAAGATGAAGTCCCTAAACCCTCAACCTTCAACCCTAAACCCTAAACCCTAATCCACCAAACCCTAAACCCTAAACCCGAAACCCTAAACCCTAAACCCTAATTAAACCCCAAATCCTAAACCCTGATCCACCAAACCCTTGTCGCAACAGCCCCCCCGGCCAACCTCCAACCTCCCGCAGAAGAACTCAAAGCCTCTAAAGCGCCGGACTGCTGGTTGGACCTCAGGCAAATGCTGCTTGAAGGCACAGCAAGGCCGCGACAGCTTCGAAAAGGGGGGATGGGGTTTGGGGTTTAGGGTTTGGGGTGTTTGGGGTGTTTGGGGTGTTTGGGGTGTGTGGGGTGTGTGGGGTGTGTGGGGTGTTTGGGGTGTTTGGGGTGTGTGGGGTTTCGGGGGGGGGGGGGGGGGGGTTGAGGCTTCTTTTGGGATTCGGGGCTGTGCAGTGTTTAGAAGGCAAGAAGAGGGTTGTAGGGGTAGGGTCTGGGTGTTGATGGTGGCAGAGCTCTGTAGGGCTGGTTGCATGATCTGCCACTAAGTTTAGGGGTTGCGGACGACTACAGCTTTGAGAGCTTCAGGGTGTGTTTCTAGGCTTTTGGGGCTTGAGGCTTTTAAGCTTGTTGCCTTGGGTGTATTTGCCGGGCTCAGTGGTTTTAGTTTTTTTTTTTTTGCGTGGGAGGGGGGGGGGGCTTTGAGACGCCGGTGTTCGGCTTCAGGTTCCTTGAAACCTAACTATCATTCTTCATCTTAGCAGGCTGCCGAAGCATCTTCTGAAGGGGTGCCCACCAAACAGATTAGGGCTTTTCAGGGTTAGTGAGGGTTTAGGGACCCTAAACCCTAAAACCTAAACCCTATATAAACCTTGAACCTTAATGGTGGAGGTGCAGCTGCTTCATGCTCCGCCCTCCGATGCGGCCGCGGCGCAAGCTTTGGCGAGGCCAGCCTGAGAAGTAAGCTCGCGAGCACTGCGATACCTACCGACAACGCAGGGGGTCCTTAAGGGGGTTCTAACCTAAACCCTAGACCCTAGACCCTAAACCCGAAACCCAAAACCCTAAACCCTAAACCGTCCCATGAAGCATAGGGATGCAGATAAGAACTTTCCCATTCAGGGTTCAGGGGCTCCCACCACCTGGGGGCTTGAGCAAGTATGTAACCCGATAAGCTCCTTTACTCTCCCCACTTATCTAGACTCCAAGCTATGTATGCCGACTCCGGGCTGGCCAACGTGCAGTACAATTACCCTGAAACCTAAAGTCCCAAGCCCTAATTGGTAATTGGGGGGGGGGGTATTTAATATTGGCGGGTAGGGGGGAGTTGTAATATTAGGGGGAGGGGATTACACCCTAAACCTGCTCGTTTTGGCGGGCTGAGGGTTGCAGAGATCGTCGCGAGTTCAGACACCGCCTGAAAAGTGTGCAGCCGAATCGGAGTCGTCTCGTAGTCCCTCGGCGCCATGGCATTGGCGGTTTGGCTTGCATAGCGCTCACGGCCCCTAAACCCCGAACCCCAAATCCTAAACCCTAAACCCCTAAGCCAGGGAAGAAGAGGTGTAGGACTGATGTTGGCAGGCCCAAGCAGTCCCGGCATGTATGTAAATAGTGAACTGGGCCTGACACTCTATGTAAGTGTTACGAGTCTACATCAGTTGATTTATCATTGAACGAAGAGGGCTTGTTGGTTTTTCTTCATCGGTGGGTGATTTGGGTTGTGCGAATTGTTAGTTCATTTAGTGTTAATAGGGTGTATCGTTCAAGGTTCGACTGGACAGTAATCAAGTTTTCTCTCCAGGAACAACAGACTTGAACCCTGCCCGCGGTTCGGCCAGACATGCGGGAGCGAAAAAAACCCTAAACCCGAAACCCTGAACCTCAACACCCCTGAGGATCTCAGAGAGTGAGCCCCAGAACCTGGCGAATGCAGCTCGGGAGCCTGCCGCGCCACGGCCGCTGCGCCCGCTCTTGGCCGGGGGGGTGGGGGAGGGTTAGGGTTTATTAGGGTTGAGGGGTTAGGGTTTCGGGTTTGAGGTTTTGAGTTTAGGGCTTCGGGCTTAGGGAAGAAGGTCCAGTGGGCTGAAGTTCAGGGTGTAGAAGGGGTGGAGTTGGGCTTTACACGTGCCTCTTGACTCTGACATCGGGCAAACCCCAAACCACTGCAGCTTTGGTTTTTGACATTGCGGGGATGTGCTGCTTGTTCCTGATCATCCACATGTCAGGCTTCAACCCCTTGGTTCTTAGTAGGAAATGAAGGATGTTGGGCCCTATATTGACCCTTGAAGGGAGCATTTAGGCACCTCATCCCCTCATTCCCTGCTAAGAACCCAGCCTGTCAGCCTTCAAGTAAAAACCCTAAACCCTAAACCCTAAACAAAATGCATTTGGTGGAAGAAGTGCCCAACTCGTCCTCCATCGTCCCGTTGCAGATCAGCGCCATGAGGGTCCAGGCGACGGCTGTCGTTCGCCGGTTCGGCCCGCAGGTGCTTCTGGCAGGTTTGGGATTCAGGGGATTTAGGGTCTAGGGTTTAGGCTTGTGAGAGAGAGAGAGAGAGAGAGAGAGAG